GGAAAGAGTAAAGTTACTGTAACCAAAATACGACTTAACTTTTAACTGCAGTTCTTTTATATTTTAACTTTCCTTCCGGTTGATAGCTTCAATTTTCGGATTGTTTTCTTTCCTCAATAATACACTTATTCGTTACTCTGCCATTGTGATTTTCCATCAATTAATCTGCTGAAATTCGGATATTCTTCGGACGATTGCCGACACTCAAAGCCGATCGAGTTACCATTCCGTTTCCGGGCATCTGCAATTTTCGATTCTCGTATTTCAATCAAAGGCAAATATTTACATTTTTCACTTAGCCAGGCGAACGAAATGAAATGCCAAACAAAGGACACAAACTGCGCCAAGGCAATAAAGTGCGCATGGGAAAGGGAACCGAATAATTGTATTAAATAGGGAAACGAGCCACTAAAGAGCCTGAAATGGCGGCAGCCTTGAATCCTTGAAGCTCCAGTTCCAGCTGCTTGGCGGCGGCGTTGGCAGCCTGCAAAAAGAATTAAACTAATATTTATCAAAGAGATGAGCGCGACGTGCTTCAAGCTAAACAAAAGACGACAGCGAAAGCCGGCGCCACCCGGGGAAAATGAGGAATGGCCCCGGACTAAAAGGACGAAAACGAAAAGGCGCCGGAGGATGTGCAGGACGAACAGGATGAGCTGGATGATGCGAGTGAGATGCTGCACCGTCACGACAGGCTAAGGCAAGTGACGCTGTCAAAAGGCGGAATGAATGGACCCGCTCTTATCCACATCGTCCTTCGTCCTCTTACCCCCTGGTGCTTTCTGCTCTTACACTGAATAATATTTCAGGATGCATTCATTTAATGGACATTCTTTTGAAATGGCATTTAATTATGAAAGTTTGTTAAATGAAATTTATTAAGCAGAGAGTGACTACTGCTGGGCATTTAATTGTGACTTTAGTTTCCTTTAGTAATAAATATTTATATATTTACTTTATTCCAAATAATGAAATAAGAATGAAAGATATATTATTGTAACTAAATTATTCTAAAATATTATGTTCTTGAGTTCATCTTCTTGTCTTTCAATGATTTGTTTTGACGCATGTATTCATTACTGATACATTTTTCAATTAATGATTTCAAGTAGATCTATAAAATAGATATCAATTGAATTAGATTTAGTTTTCCCTGGATTTTTCCATTTCTGATTTATTGACCAAGGTTAGACAAACATATACCCTGTTTGAGAGGAAGATTTCTTTCAGTGAATGTGTGCGGGAGTGAATGGCGCGAGAGTTGAGCCAACTTTATGCTAATTAGCAGCTGCTAACCAGCGTTAAAACTTTGCACTTAACAGGCTCGAAGAATGGAGAGTAGAGGCCGAGGGCAGCCAGCAGACGGGACATGTGTTCTAATGGCTCCAACTCTCGCTACGGAATTTACGGACTATGTGCTCTCCTTGGGCATTGTGACTCCTCCAAATTGGATAAGTGCCGTTTTCTCGCTTTTTCGGACAGCTGGTGCCCCGGCAAAATGGACTGCGACGCAAAAATCCTGTATTTTCCAGGGGCTACGAAATCGAATACTGAGCTTAGCACTTTTTCTGCCGTTTCATTCTCTCTCATTGTGTATCGTCGTGTATATAGAATTGTATACATTCAAAAATATAGCATTTATAAGCATATATTTTGGTCTGTGTGGCAGTGGGCTGGGGGTAATTGCATTGAAATGGGAAAATAAAACGGCTATAAATATGCCCATTGTGTGCCAGTGCGATTTCAGTGCCAACAAAAGCGCACCATAAATTAACTAAATTGAAAACCATTTTGGTGCAGCGTTCTCTCAAGTCCGCCGCCACCCCCTGGGCCCTCAGTGCCTGGCAACACTTTTATATTCATTACATTTCATACCGAGCTTGGCTCTATTGTGCCCTGCATTTGAAAAGGAGACTCTAAGCTTTATTATGGCGTTAGTAATTATGTTCTGGCATTCAATTGAATGCACTCGCTTTTTCCATTACGATCAAAAATATTAAAGAGCTGTTTGCAATTGACTTTCACTTGGATTTAAAGGAAAATTAAGTGGTAAATTCCCCTGAAAAAGTGTCGTAAAAGTTATTTACTTGCATGGAAAAGAAAATAATAATAAAAATTACTTTATTTACTAACAATCACATGTCGTAAGATGACGCAGAATATTTGTTTAGAATTATTTGTTAACATTTTTCACAGTTTATAGAAAATGTAGCCAGCACTCTCGACCAAATCCCTTCCAAGCTCATCAGAGAATATAATCAGCTTGTTGTGATTCCTTGTAAGAGCATTAAAAAGCCAGCTCAAAATATTCTGCAACATTTTTGCAGTTATATTTTTTGACTCAGATGCGCTTTCCGCTCGCTGCGCACATAAATATGCAATAGAAACTTTTCTCACGTTTTTGATTGCATTTTTTGTGCAGCGTCATAAATATTTAATGTTTACTTTCGCCAGTAGTCGGCATTCGGCGGAAGTGAGCTTCATTTTTCACCCATCGCTCATTGCCCAATCCCTTCCTTTTTTTTGCTGAGATCTCTGCACATTTATTCTGGTAATGCAACCAGGAAGACCCTTTATTGCTTTTCCCTGTGGCCGGCGGTAAATAAACACAATGTGTTGAGAACGCAAGCTCTGCACTAATGTCCTTATTAATAAGGACAGGGATAAGCACAGGAAATCCGACTCCAGTTGCATTGTCACTAAATGTGACCGAAAAACCACACACGATGCACTTCATTAACTTAATTAAAAATCTTGGCAGCAGCCGCAACAGCAGTTCAGAAGCTCGAGCGTGGCAAATAGTGTATATGCGAGTGCTTCAGAGACGTCGAGTGCCAGTGCAAGTGCAAGAACCGCAAAGCGAGTCAATTCCAGCTGAGTGCAAATAATTCTCTCTTTCAGAAGTACACTGAAAAGTAATAGTACAAAGATATTTTAATATATTTAATCCTTGCAAGTATAATAGCGACTTTCAAATGCAATATTTCAAAGAGGATCGATCGAATCATTCTTTACACTTAGAAACACATATTTTTACTTTTTCTTCTCGTAAATATCAATCAAATTCAAGTTATTTCTTCCTGTGCATTCACATGAATGCAACCCACACTCATAACGCGGCACACGGAGCGTAAACTCAATTAAAAACTGTCGAGCTGTTGCCGCCACGCCGCATTTCGCCTGATGACTAAAGTTGATTATCTTTAGCCAGTGTCAGAAAAACACACAGACACACACATATCGCTATCCTTCTCGTTTTTCATCCCCAGGTTTTTTCCTACGACTTTCCTCAGGTTTCACCTCCCCTAGTTTTTTCTAGCTTGGCTGCATTTTTTCGCTTCCGACTTAACGCCCCATGCAAATGCATTGTTAGTTCCATTTTTGCGGACGGTTGAGTCCATGGAATTTCTTTCATTACGTACATGTAATTTATATTTTCTTGTTACCCTTACGACTGGCAAAACCATAATTGGATTTTAAATTTAGTGGCATTCATAAATTAGCCATCTAAATGGGTTTGGAATGCACAATGTGACATAATTCCCAGGATGCTAGCTTAGTTCCCTTTGCTTAATGGTCAGATCTCATAAATGTCATTCAGGATTCGTGTTTGGGAGATATGAACGCATTAATTTAACCTTCAACTAAGCGAATCCAAAGCAGCAGAGAGAAAAATGATATGTTTGCATATCTATTAATGTTGAAAACTCACGAATTTATAAACTTTTCATAAATGTCCTCGTGTGCATGTTTACAGAGATTGTTTTGAGCCAATTTTTCAAAATTAATCTCCATGGCACAGCAGTCGAAAAGCTAAATAAACAACAAAAATGCAAACAATAATTATGAAGTTGTGCCAGCTATTATTTTTTGAATTCAGTTCAAAATTCTCGGAATGACAAACTATGCTTTTATTTTGTCACATTTTACGCACTGTGTGCGGGTGTGTTCTCATCTAAATGCAGAATAGAGCAAACAAAGTCACGGCAGATAGAGTGATACGAGCTGCCTTGCTGCACATACAATCTCATCTCCCAGTCGCATGTCTGGAATTTTTATGTGAATACAACCCACCCACCGTATATCGTCTATATATCACCCTTTTTCCCAGCGATTTTTGCCACACACTCTGCTGCACTCTGTTCGAATGCAATGCCTACAATGTCTCAAATGCGGCTAAGCATGACGTTGATGAAGCGCATGCAACAGCTCAACTTAGTTGAAGGTTCATGGCGTGGCAGGTTGCTGATGTTGCTGATGTTGCTGCAGTTGCTGTTGCTGTTGCTGCTGCTTTTGCGATGTTTGCTGCTATGCTGCGATGTTGCTGCTGCTTTTGCTGTTGCTGTTGCTAAATTTGCTGCTGACAATTTCTTGTTAGCGCGTTGTTCATGTTGTGGTTGCGTATGCCCGTGTGTGTATGAGCGGGTGCCAGTGAGTTTCTGTCAGTGTTTCGGACGATAAATTTTCAATTTTGCAAGCTCGCTGGCAGCGCGAGTGTGTGTGCGTGCTTGTGTGTGCTTTGTTTGTGTTTGTGCGAGTGAGCGTTTTAGCGTTTCCGCCTGTTTAGCCACAGTTCAGCGCAACACAACATGGCGTATGATTGATGCCGTCTCCAGCAGACACTCGCACACAGGGGCACTGTTAAAAGAGCTAGTGAGGAAAATTATACAGGATTTCTTCCTTAAACCGATATGAGACACATGAGAAAAATTTATGACATTTATGCTTGAGATGGTATATTTTATTAATTCTTGGTTGTGATAGCTATTCAATACAACTTAATATTTTTTTCCTGTGGAAATGAGTAAGCCAGCAGACAGTGGCTTATTAAATTCATTCTAACGTCATGCTTTGATGGAGCACTTGACGTCCACCTACGCAAACAGCAGTAAGTCCAAACACAAACACCTTCTCTGGCACATGCTTAACTCCCATTATGCGTTAAGGTCCTTTAATTACTGGCACACATCTCATCACTTATGTTATCTCATTCATTGCAGCATCGCGTTGAAGACGTCTCGAGAGGTTTAGGCCAAAGAGCAGCGAGCAGAAGCAAGAGAGCCACAGGAAAAGGGATTCTAGAGCTAGGTGAGTCCTTCAGCATGTTGGAAGTATTACCCTAAATAAGGAATCAGATATATTAGCAAAAAAGTAACACTTTCTAAAATTACAAATCTAGAAAGGAAATCTAGTCTAGTCTAGAAAAAAATAAATTTTCGAGATTTTTTCAAAATTTTATAAGGGGTTACATCGTTAAATTTGCCAAAAATTTATAAAAATCCCAATTTTTTTAAATTTCAAATTTAGTACTCAAATTTATTAAACTACTAAAAAACTAACTTAAGAGTGATTTCCGAATTAAAATTAATGCTTTTTTGACTTAGTTGTGAGATTTTTAAATTTTATTTGTAAAACATATTTTTATATAAAAACGTTGTTTAATATCGGCTCAAAGAATGGTATTATAATTATAGTCAGAAGCCTAAAAAAATGTGAAAGAGTCATTTCCGACCCCATAAATTATATCGATTTTTGATCAGCATTAAGAGCTGAGTCGAACTAGGCATGTTCGGTCATAAAATAAATTTTCAACATTTATTCAAAATTTTTTAAATCATTAAAATTATCAAGACCTCGAAAAAATTTCAATGTTTTAAAATCTTAAATTGAGTATGCAGATGTATTATCCTAATAAAAACTTACATGGGATAGGTTTTTGAATTAAAATTACTGAATTTTTGGTTTAGTTATGAGATTTGTTATGTTTTGATTTGTCAAACAATTTTTTTTCACTTATCTATGATCAATTTAAACTTCGTCCCCTTATCCAATTGTAATCTGCAATGGTATACAAACTTCGCCTCTCCAAAGATAGCTTCGTTCCTTTTTTCCAAATATGAAATAGCTATATAAGTCACTTAACAATGCCATAGCTTTATGATTTCTACAGATCATAACATTCCACGTTATGACTTATGCTTTAGGACTAATAAACCTTTGGTGAAATTCAATTTTGGCATTATTGCAAGGAAGCGAATGCATTCTGTAGTGCACTCTTGGCCCTTGGAAAACAATTCAATTAGTGGCAGCTAAGAGACAAAGTATTCCGGCAGCCATATAACAAGATTTTATGACTCACTCGCAGGACGCTGAGCACAGGATCATGGCCAAGGAATTCCACGATGGCCAAGGCATTCTCATAAAAGTCAGTACAAGTATATTGAGTGGAAAATTGCTGGGGCCAGCTATGCACTTTGTTGTGATGCAGCTGCTCTAGCTGCATACTATCCCCAGCAGGATTAGATTGCATTAGATTAAAGCTTTGGCATCGGCATCAGATTTCCTTTGAATCGGAACTAGGGATTAAATGGCTTCTCTTTTCTCTCACTCCCTCTCTCCCTCTCTCCCTCTCTCTCTCTCTCTCTCTCTCTCTCTCTCTCTCTCTCTCTCTCTCTCTTTGTATCTATTTCTGTCAAATCAATTGCAATTGGCCTTCTATCGGTCCTGGTGGTGAGTCATTATGTTACACTGATTGAAAAGCCCCGGACGAGTAGGTCGTATTTCCCACAAAGCCCACAAGTTGGGAATATGCCAACAATTAGCAGCTGTGAAATCAGATATGAAACGCCCACTGTGCCACACGGAATGGAAGGGAGCAGGACAATGCACAAGGACAAAGGGGCCACTTTAACTGCAAAATATTTCCGTGAATAAATGTGAAATGGTATTTTTTTATGATGATGTCACAGCGCGCCAGGGAAATAATTTTAAAACCAATAAATTGTGCGAGAAAACAGCAAGAAACAACCGACGACAACAACAGAATGAGCTATAAAATGGCAACAACAAATATTTGACTTGACAAAACGGGCATTTATGTTAGGACATAAATTCCTTTTTGGCTGGAAATCATCGATGTTTTGCCCTCATACGGTGGAACACCATAAATAATCAAATGAAAATAACAAAAGACTGTAAGGCGCAACAACGAAACGAAATATGCAAATGCCTTTTGCAAATGGCCACGGCAAAGCGTATTTCGTGTGTTTTTCCACAGGAAGCGGAAGGAACAAGTGCGGTGGAGAGCAGGATAGGGGCCGTGCCCGCAATTTATGTAAAATTCAATGCTTTATTACATCACACACGCACAGCCGAAAATAAATCGGACTTGTGTGAGTGCCTTGCCGCTCCCATATATGCAAATCATATCACTCATACGCCCACGTGAACTTTAAATGCAAAAACATTATCAAAAATGAAACACCAGTGAAAATGTCATCCTCCCCAACAAGAAAGAAAGTAAGAAAAAATAACAGAACAGGAGCCAGAATGGTATGGGAATTCCTGAAGATAAGCAAATGTTTTTACATGTTTTGTGCACAAATTTTATTATGCACACAAATAAAGAAAAACATACTAACACACACATCCCAAAAATGCCTACATATGCCAGGCATTTTACACGAACAGTGTTGTTCCAACACTCTCAAACAAAATTAATGGCAAACAATGAGCTGCTGCTCACTCTTTATGATTTTCTGCTGCCTACTGTCTGTGACCTTGACTTCGGGGGAAAATGCGGAAGCAAAGTGGGGTGCCATAAACGATATTTGATATTACATTTAGAAAGGATTGCCCTGTCTGACACTGACGGCTTTCCTCTCTCGAATTGGAATAAATCAGTCAGTTCTAGGAATTCACAACCGCAAATGATTCCGGCTTTTACACAAGGAAAATATTTCATTGGGAATTTGATGAGCATTTACAAAGAGTGAAATCATAGTCCTTTACAACTAAATTCAGTAGAAAAGGTTTGAATACTTTATTATATTCTAAATGAATATAAACTTATGGCGAAAAGGCATATGTGTACATTTTTCTGTGTTTCATTCACACTGATTGCTTCCCACATTTTGTAGTTCGGTGTAAGTTCGCGCATAAATATATGATTCGAAATCAACGCATTCATTATTTACAACCATGCCAACGCTGTGCAAAGAAAAAAGAAAAACACAACACAACAAGAACTGTATGGCAATGTAAACCGACAGCAGCTTTGACACATAAACATCAAGTGCGCAAGAAGCAGCAACCCCTCGGTGTCGGGATTTAGCTCCCACCGCGTTCCTCTTCAGCTGGCTGAGCCCCGAAAAAAGGGGCGCCAATGTCGACAGCGGCAATTTAAAATTGCTTGCTTTTTAACTCGCATCCATTTACAGCAATTTCGTGTGCTCTCGAGACGTGTGCGAGTCCCTCGTGTGATGTGTCAGGTTGAAATTACATCGGGCACTTGGCAAATGGCAGAATGCTCCAAGGATAACGCAGTCGAGGACCGACAACGAAGGATGAGTGCGGGTTCGTCATAAATATGCTGGATGCGAAGCATAAATTGAATGCGGAGCCTGGATGAGAAATCAAATTTTATGACTTTGTAATTGAAATGCGCTGGCGAGCATATGAAATTACCCATACGCCGTGTGAGCAGCACATTACGCATACGCCTCATGGGTCGTACAGATTTTAATCTCCGCAGTTGTCCCTTAAATAAACAACAAGACCAGCTTGTCACATATGTGCGAAATAAAATAGAAAAGGAAAGTAATTAAGGGAAGCACAAGTTCGTACACAGTTTGATCAGATTCTTTCGAATATATGTATGTACATATATCAGTTTTATATGAAATTTTTCCAACAAATCAATTTTTAAAAATCTCATAACTAAGCCAAAATTTCATTAAGTTTAATTCGGAAAGCTGTTCTATGTTAGTTTTTGTTAGGCTAATAAATCTGCATACTCAATTTAAGATGGCTAGATTGACTCGTCTGTTTATGCTGTTCAAGAATATATATAAATTATTGGGTCGGAAACGACTCCTTCACTGCGTTTGAAGCTTCTGAATGAAATTAGAATACCCTGTAAGAGTATAAATATATTAACTTCAAACATTGCCACCATATAAACTGAAAACCTGATATATAAAGAGAAATTTTTATAAGGAAACAGAATTATTACATATCTTATTATACATATTTCGCGTGCTCTTCAGATTTAAATCGTCTTGCTCACAGTGCTCCTTTTATTTTTCGTTGGTTATTTATTAAGCTCCTCCATTTCTCTGACTGTCTCGATTTCACGGTGAGTCACTTGTTTCGTGACTTTTGCCGCTCAGCCGCAAATCTTGCCAGCTTTAAAAATGCTGTCTGTCCGTTCTGGTAAAAAACGAACGAAAAAGAGCTTAATGCGCCAAAGTGCCGGCGCCAAGCCAAAGCCATATAAAAAGAGGGACTGCACAGCGCCAAGGGGGGCAGGAGGCGGGGCATCAGACCATAAACTGCAACCATCAACAGCATTGCATTCTTCTCGAAAAAGAGTGGCTGCTGTGGGGCAAACTCGAGTGAGCTCGCTGCTTGAAACAATTGCTTGCGATATCTGCAAAAATTAAGTTTACGCTGACTGGTTTTAAAAAGCTCTTTATGCGCTCAACGCCAACTTTGCTTTTATCTTTTTCCCTGACTGCGTTTATTTCGCAAAAACTTAAGGATTTGCAGCCATAAAATATATTTTGTGTTAACTGAAGGGCCCAGCCAGCATCGCAGTTAATAAGGCAGAAGGGGTAGCAAAAATCTAAATTGAAATCTCCGCAGTAAACTATTTTCCTATTTCCAGCAAACTGGAGAGCAGTTGGCCAACTAAAATTACTCTTGTTTAGCAGGGCATCCCATGCCAATCCCCGGCATCCAACAATTTCTGATTCAGAGCCCCAACAAGTCCTGTCAGCAAAGTCGAGAGACTGCGGCAAACCTCAAGACGCTGCCGCAGAAGCCAGAGAAACTGCCAAATATTTAAAAAGTTGTGCGCTCTCGTGGCGGGAATGTCAAATAGGGCCAAGGGCGGAAGGCAATCAGGAAAAAGCCGGCCCCGAGTAAGGGAAAGTTGCTCATGCAGGACGAAGGACATAAATATTAAAACCTATGAATATTTACGCCCCTGTCGGCTTTGGCAATAATACAAATAAGAGGGGCTTCCTCTCCATAAGCCTTAGCTGCCAAATCGGGCCCATAGCGCCCCGAACGATTCATAATTAAATTACATTATTTATGTCCTGTTGCCAGGAGAATTCATCCGGACAGGAGTCGTCGCAGCCTGTTGTCCGGACTGCGGGCTTTCGCCCCGGAGCTTAAAGCGGCTTACGATTCTCTGTTTGCTGACCAAATAATTGGGGCCATCTTGTCCCCCATTGATTAGCATAATTAACACCGAAAGTCGCTCGGGCGCAGAGCCGCCTGCCAAAAACAAATAACACAAATTCGAGTGCATTCGCACAAACAGTCACAGTCGCAATCACCAGCCCAGAAATGAACTCGTGCGCATTCGAAATTCGAGCTGCCAGCCAATTTTCCACCACGGATGAGTTTTCCAAAAATTGAAAATACCCAATGGAATAATGTTTTGACATGGCTATTTATTATGGTACTCACTCAATTGGTTTTGCTACATTTTCGTGTTCATGTCACATTGTTTGGAATTTATGTTATGTTTGCAAACTTTGTCCCATAGAAATTTTATAACTAGTTACTGGTAAAGTCCCAGTAGGAGGAAGTTTATTTAGGTTAGTCTGTATGTACAGATTAAATAAAGGTGTGAGCTTTTTGGTCTTCTGTTCGTATGCTTTAAATATTCCTTTTTAAATTTCATACTTTGTTTAAAGAAACATTTTACAATAAATTATATATCAATTTGTGTTTAAATTCCTAAGAATATTTCGTATAATCATTTTTGAGTTTGTTTCGTTTCATATTTTCACAAAGTCTAAACAGGAAACCATAATTATTTCTCCATTTGTTTTCTCACCTTTTTTCTGCCAGAGTTCATTGCCTTGAAGAATAGTTTTTTAATAATGCTGGGGGGCTGCTGCTTAATGTAAATGCGCTGCCGCCTTGCTTTTGTTTCGAATTTCATTCGATTTTTGAGTGTCGCGTTGGCTTCACACCTGCCGCACAGGTGTGGCATCGTCTGGCCGTCTAGACGCCTCTCCCCCTGCCTCAAATTTCCTGGCTCAATTGCCACTTGGCCGCATTCAATAAATCGTACATGGGGGAAAACATTAGGCCAATGCTTTTTTTTAAAGCCAAGTTCGTCGAACGCGTTGGCAATGGCAATGGAATTCAATTAAAGAGGGATGTATAAATTGGGTTCTAGGTCGCGGTTCCCTCGAATTCCTCCTCTAGAAATGACCGCAGAAATGGGAAATAAGAGATGAAGCCGGGGAAATGGCGAAATAAATAAAAATGCGAAACGGAAGCTGGCAACGAGAATGGAAGCAACAATGGCCGAGCCGCCATCGCCTTTTAGCTGCCCTTTGTTTATTTGTTTCGCATTTCGAAGAGCGAACAATTCAATAATCAAAAGAAGTATGAAAATTAATACAAAAGGTCTGCGGTCACTCCCGCCCGCGTCTTTTCCACAGATGATTCACGTCTGCGGTGGCTGTGGGAAAATGGGGAAAATTCTTGCTGCCTATGGCCGTCGGGTCCTGAAAACTTTCGTTTGGCGGTTTCTTTTCCCGCCGCCCTCTCTCCCTCTCTGACTCTGTTTTTATTCGCTCTGTTATTTTCCTTCTTTTTTGTTGCCGCATTGTTTCATTGTTTAAAAATTTTCCTTGGAAATTGTAACAACTGTGACCATCATTAGGGCGACATGTGCGTGTGGTAAGGTCTTTGTGTGCAGAAACGCTGAAAGGAAGAAGATGTCGTGCCCGCAGGACACAGCTTTTATGAGAATTTAAATTCAGACTTTAAGGCACTGCCATTTGCACTTTATAAATACAGCTGAGTAATGAATTTTTCGCATTTTTCTCTTTCTCTCCCCGTCTCTCCAGGCGACAATCAGAGGAGCAGTAAATACAATCCAGCAGCCCACAGAGATTTATTGAAAGAGATACCCAAGTACAAGGCATAAAAGTCAATGACCACATCAACTGGCGGCCGCAAGCATCATTTTTATTAAGCATACGCCCCCACATAAATTAGTAATCAGGCGGCGACGACGACTACGACTACGGGGCAGCTAACCGCAGGCGAAACTAATAAGACGACTTATTTTTATTGAAATTATGATTAATGATGAGTTCGGCGCAGTAAATCGCGGCACCGACACGGTGGCGTATACGCAATGATGCTGAGGGTCGCAATGACCGCAATGGGCTGGGGTTGCTCATACGCCGCGTCGGCCCGCTTTAGCTATTGAAAGACCTGCTTGATGGCTTCACCCGGCCTGGACTGGCAACGCCACCAAAGCCACCACCACCAGCTCCAGCACCACCACCACCAGAGTCACACTCACCCCGTGATCCACCAGAAACTGATCTCCACCGCCACGCTGACTCTGTTCGTTCTCTTCCTGAGCAGCTGGATAGCCTATGGAGCGGCCAAGGCCACCGTGGCTGCTCCGCTCCTGGAAATCGAGACGGAGCCGTCGCCATCGCAGTCACAGGACTTTAACAGCAGCACCGCCTTCCTAGGGGCCATAGCCTCGGCCTCAGGTTTAGGCTCGGGACTGGGATCACTGTCGCCCATGAATAGCAGTCCCATTGCCATAGTCTCGTATCAGGGCATCACCAGCACTAATTTGGGTGACAGTAATACGACATTGGTGCCCCTCTCAGATACTCCCCTGCTCCTGGAGGAATTCGCCGCTGGGGAGTTTGTGCTGCCTCCCCTGCAGTCCATATTCGTGAGCATCGTCCTGCTGATCGTCATCCTGGGCACAGTGGTCGGCAATGTCCTCGTCTGCATAGCCGTCTGCATGGTCCGCAAGCTGAGGAGACCCTGCAATTACCTGCTCGTCTCATTGGCGCTCTCCGATTTGTGTGTGGCCCTGTTGGTTATGCCCATGGCCCTGCTGTACGAGGTGCTGGAGAAGTGGAACTTTGGGCCGCTGCTGTGCGACATCTGGGTATCCTTCGACGTCCTCTGCTGCACCGCCTCAATACTAAATCTGTGCGCCATATCGGTGGATCGCTATCTAGCCATAACGAAGCCCCTGGAGTATGGAGTCAAGCGAACACCTCGCAGGATGATGCTGTGCGTGGGCGTAGTTTGGCTAGCAGCTGCCTGTATCTCATTGCCTCCGCTCCTGATCCTCGGAAACGAGCACGAGGACGAGGATGGCCAGCCCATTTGCACGGTGTGCCAGAATTTCGCATATCAGATCTACGCCACGCTGGGCTCCTTCTACATACCGCTGTCGGTGATGCTCTTTGTCTACTACCAGATCTTCAGAGCGGCGCGAAGGATTGTGCTAGAGGAGAAACGTGCCCAGACACATCTACAGCAGGCCCTCAATGGAACCGGCTCACCCACGGCACCGCAGGCTCCTCCCATGGGTCACACAGAACTGGGCGGTAATGGCCAGCGGCATAGCAGCGTGGGCAACACCTCGCTGACATACTCCACCTGTGGCGGATTGAGCAGTGGCGGCGGTGGAGCCTTGGGTGTCGGCGTGAGTGGCGGCCATCATGGAAGCGGCGGAGGGGTGAGCGGATCCACTGGACTCCTGGGATCACCACACCACAAGAAGCTGCGCTTCCAGCTAGCCAAGGAGAAGAAGGCCTCCACCACACTGGGCATTATCATGTCCGCCTTCACCGTCTGCTGGCTGCCCTTCTTCATCCTCGCTCTCATTCGTCCTTTCGAGACGATGCATGTCCCGGCATCGCTCTCCTCCCTCTTCCTCTGGCTGGGCTACGCCAACTCCCTGCTAAATCCCATCATCTATGCCACCCTCAATCGGGACTTTCGCAAGCCCTTCCAGGAGATCCTATACTTCCGCTGCTCCAGCCTCAATACGATGATGCGAGAGAACTACTACCAGGATCAGTATGGAGAGCCGCCATCCCAGCGGGTGATGCTGGGCGATGAGAGGCATGGAGCCAGGGAGAGCTTCCTCTAGGCAAGTGCACCGGATAGCAGTCGGCAAAAGCGAATCTGAGGATGTCAATGCTAGTCGCAGGATCTTCCCCTTGGTATTCGGTAGAACAGTTCGGCCACGTAGGATCCCTAGTCTAACCTAAGCGTACATTGAGGGGTGAAAAGCTAATGGTAAAGCCAGAAAAAACTGTAATTTCCTGTCAAGGTTGAAGGTAATCCCTGGAAATGCTTTAATATATTATTGTCATGGCAAAATTTCTATTATTTATTTACTTTTTATTATGATCAAACTGTCCGAACTACAAGTGTTCACTACATTTCATTCTGAAATTTTAGCAGTTTACAAGATATTAAATTTGCAATTTGGATCATAGATCGGCATATTTAAGTAGTTCGAAAGCCGAAGAAAAAGGCCGCATCTTTACGAAGCGAGAGAGGAACGTGTTTATGACTTATGATCATTGCCCAGGACAAAATATATATCAAGAGCAATCCAAGGACTACCTTCCATCTCCCCCTCTCAATTAAGAACCCCCCTCAGAACACCCACACATACACTCACATGGATATTTGTATGAAGTAGCGATAGTAGTGCGTATCTCTGTATATGTGCACACCACATCCCTGGCATTCGCAATAAGTGCGACATGTAGACGACTCCTCTAAATGTAACTTGTTGTTGTAATTTTAAATGTAGAACTAAGCAATCAGAGTGGTGTACACCACACACACACCATACACAAGTATAACACTCACAAAACCAAAATTATACACACCACACACACGGTTGTAACTGTGACAGGTTTCTACGGTTCCTTTTATGTTTCGAAAACAATCAGCACCGGATATGAGACACAATCGTTATCGAATCTATATTGATACCCCCGAAAGAGGAAAACCACTATTTCCCCATTTGCCCCAAACAAAAGAAACTAAGGAAAAGGAAAATTTGCCAGCGTAGTTAGTTGATTTGCGATACTCAAACTGAGCCAAATATTAAATTTACAAGCTGCGAAGAGCAGACCATTAAGCCTACTGATTAACCTAGATATACTTATGTTCGTGCAAGAAGCTATTCACTGTAAATACCTAGCCAGGACACTCGAAGGTCCTGGGGCCCTGTCTATAATGATATATATATATATTATATATAATGATATAGGAAACGTAGCGTATATATGTATGTATGTGTACACTGTGCGGCTCAAGCTCAAGTGAGATGAACTAAATTGTATTTTGTAACTTTCTGCATTAGTCTTTCGTTGTATTTTGTATGAAAAGTCACGCCTCTCTGTGATACCAAACATTAAGCATTACTTTTATGTTTAGATCGAAGCTGCATCAAACGTAATACACACATACCTATACATATAGATATAGTCGACTAAGTGTGCATGTTTTTATTGTATATGTATGTAGCACTCCGCGAAGTGCACTATGATATTCGAAACAAACAAACCAACAATCGATGGAAAAACTGAGCTCCTCCGCCAACAGAGGCGAGAGATAAACTATCAAACTATTTACATAACCAACACACACCCAGAACACACATACAAATCCAGACACCGCACACAATCATCGCCCACACATGAGAATGAAATTGAAATCGAGTATGGAAATTGAAAACGCAAATGAAAAACAAACAAACAAAACACGGCAAACGAGCATGACAAAACTAAGCGCAGCTAATTATATGCAAACCGAACTAAAGTTCATAACAAAAACAAACATCAAATATTATAATTAAAAACAAAACACAAGTAATTGAGAATAACATACGAATAAAAACTACAAATCACTTTCCGAGTGAAGCTTACAAAACTGCAAAAAAATAAACTGCATTTGAAAACTGTTTTCTTGAAAAACGTGCGGAAATTAAGGCATCAAATAAAAGGCAAAATCTATAAATGTATCATTACCGATTACTGTATTTTATGTGTTGAAAACAGGTAAACAAAAGCTAATAAATGGCTTAAAGGTAAGTTTCAAAATTGAAATTTATACATCCACAAATCTCGGAATTTCTTGAATTAACTATTTATCAGAGTAAATAAATTAAGAGGATTTTGTATACCATTGTTTTTGCGAATAATGGCTTAACCTCCAGGTAAAAGCTTTGAACTAATACTATAAAGTGCACTACGCTGCAGGTTCTAGAACTTTTTACTCTTAAACATTGGAAATTGAATTCAAATCCTACAAAAGCGAATTGCAGCAGCTGCTGGCAGCTGAATGTCAAACTCAATGCACAATTTAACAGACTGCTGGCAGCGAAAAAAAAACATCGCGCTCAGTGCGAGTGACAAGTTGGGCAAACGTGCAAAATGCCCGGAAACGGAAGCTGAAACTGTAGCCGGAGCAAAAGCAGAAGCTGAAGCTGAAGGGAACGGGGGAAAGGGGAAAGGGAAAAAGCGAAAGCGACGCCAACATGGCGTGCATATCAAAAGGCAAACACAACTAACAAACATCTGCGGCGGAAGCTCACGAATTGTTCGCTACTCTGTATGCAAATATCTGCACATTTTCTACCATTACTATTCCTATTTCACTTTTTGCCAGGCATAAACAAGGAACAGGGCGCAAGGCTTCGAGGCGAGGATTCTAAGCAGCCGAGATTCCAGGAAGCACCAACCGTAGAAAGGCACTCGAAAAAGGGTATGACAATGACAAAGTGATGCGGATCTGACGGCGCCAGTAGCAGAATCTGTTACATCACTGGAAGAAAATATTGGTACATATAATTATTATCTCATAATATATTAAATATCCGAAGCAAAATCTGTAATATTTAAACCGGAATCATACCTCAATTTTTAAGATTTTTCCAACCTTCTTAATAATATTTTACAGAATTTTTCCTCCGTGTTCCTAAAGTTCCTACTTCTGGCTGCCTGCTGATAAATGATGATTTTACGCCCTCTTCTCTGCACTACAAACTACATGCTGGGATGCCACTTTATGAGCCAGCCAAAAAAAAAAAAAGAATCACACACACCCAGCACACAGGGCCACGCCTTCCGCCTCGGATGTGGACGGGGATATGTGTTCTCGGTTCGCCTTTGCCTTTCTGCTAAGCGGATTTTTGTATTCAAATAGCTTCGTCCTTCTTCCCCGAAAAAAAGCTGACGACTGCAGCGAAATTCCTGCAGCCAGCGAGCGTAAAATTTATAGTAGCGTCACCAGTACTAAAGTCTGCAGTTTTACGAGCACTTTTTTCTATTAGCCGTTTTCGTGACACTAATGCGACGTTTATGAAACATCTCAAATCGGCATGAGCTGCGGCCATGTCCTTGAGAAGTTTTCAGCTTTAGCCTTTGGGGAAGGCACCGGCTGCAGTTGTCATGCTCATGGCCGTGAAGTGTTAACAAGCACTCGCCACATAAATCAGCAGACAGCAGGAGACAGGTCCTGGGTCCCGAACAGGACCCTTTTCTGGACATTCCTAAGAGAAACAATAAAAAAAAAAAACGAAACGAAGGCGAAAAGGCAACGGCACGTAACAAAAAACCCCAATTGAGCTCAATTTCCTGTGAGTGGCACTCTCCACTTTCCGCCAGTGAAAAGGCCGCCAAAGTGACTACTTACGAGGACTAGATTTGTATCGATAGCGCAATCGAAAATCGATGACCCCTCCCCAGCAGCCAAATGTCAATGCTGCAAGGTAATACGACAAATTTCCAAATGTATTTGCCACAAAAAAAAAAAAAAAACGAGCTCGAATTTCAGCAAATGACTTTCGGTCCGAGGGATGGCGGCTGCTGATGATGCCTCTTAGATCTTAGATGTTAAATTTAATAAATATCAAAGCAGCAGCTCGTTGAAATGGCAATTTAATATTTTGTGTGGGTATTAAATGGCTCAAGAAGCAGCAATACGCAATTTAATAAAGTTACAGTTGCAGGATTCGCTCACATTTTATTTACTTTCGTGACAAAAAGGCCGGAGAAAAGCAGAATGAATTTATTGCGTTCAGAAAATAAGTGCTGCGGCTTTGAGTAAACGAAAGTGCAATTAAATTTAAAGCAAACATTGTTGAGTAAACAATGCGTATATGCAAGGTAGGTTAAATTATTTCGAACACCTTGAAAAATATAATGATATTGATTATTATTATTATATTTTCTTAATTTAATATTTAGACTTTGAATTTATTCTTAATTTATCATACGATTCAGTGTGAGAAGCAAATGGGAATATTTACAACCCATGGGAATTAAAACTTCTCAAATTTATATTACATTATTTACTTTTCTTACAAAACCCGCAAAAAGCAGAACACATTCGTTTGGGTAAGAAGACACATGTGGTTGGGTGACTTTTATTAAACCTTGCCGACATTTAATTCCAGGCCAACATTGTTAACACGGCTTGTGAGCAAATATTGCGTATCCGGGTAAGCCAGAGGCGCCGACAGCCCGAAAGTATGCAACACGCACACCTCGCCACTGTCGAAATGTATTCAAAACAAATTATGTAAATTATTTTGAGCGCTAACAACTCCATTTCAACATTATGCGATAGGAATCTGCACTCTTCCTCTCGTTCTCCCTTTCCCCCTGCATTGTTATAATTGTGGAAAATGTTTTATTAAATGCCGTCCTGCGGGCTTGCGTCACTGGGGCAAAATGAAGAAAGCACAGGAAAAAGTGAGCCCGAATGTCTGAGAATTTGTACAAAATTAAGTTGATTAAATGGACTTAGCAGCGCGATTACACGCAAGGCTGCCCGGGTTGGCTGGCTGTTTGGGAAATTCTCACTGCGTGCGGACCGCTTTTCTTTTCGGGTTTCCTAACACCCACACACACAGCGAACACACCTACCCGCAGATACCCGCACACTCACACACATTTGGCAAACATTTTTCATTCCTTCTTGGAATCCATTGCTGTCGCTTTATCGAGAGGAGGTTGGTTGGCCAAGGCGAAACTAAGGCGAAACTTTGACCATTGAAATCTCGGTCTCCTGGGAGCAGTCCGCCTTAGTCTCGTTAAATGCCGCATGATTAACGTTTTGCTCCGCAAGACAATTGATAAAGAATGGAACGGAGATGGGCTCTCAAGGAGCTTTAAGCCGTGTCGGCCATCAAAGGGAATTACAATCCACGGCCAGCCAGCGACTGCAAACAATGGAATGAAGAGTGCAGCCAAAGCAAAAGGGTACACGTCGACGGGCGTTTCCCTAAACTGGATAAGGCTAAAGGCTTCCTGATTCTCCTTGTTCTAGTTCTTGGAAAATACAAGGAATTGCTTCAAGTTTCGATTCAGCTTAGCGTGTCAAGCTGATTCTGCGAACAAGATTTTTGAAAAATTCCGAAGGATGGCTGTGACTTTTTCTGGAAATTTGTCTTTATTACCTTTTCTAAGGAAACTGTTGGATAAGACTTTCTCGGCAAATTTTAGTGTCACAAGAAGCAGCTTTATACATAGAAATATTTAAAAAAGGCTTTAATAAGAAACATGAAAAATAAACTTATTTATTTCATAAATCAGTCAAAAACGAATTAATTTTAATTCGAAAACTATTCTTATGTTAGTTTTTATTAAACTAATAAATCTGCATACTAAATTTTTAAATTTAAGAAAAATTGGAATTTTTGAAAATTTTTTAAAGATTTAATGATGTAACCCCTAATAAAATTTTAAAATTTTGAAACAATTTTTTTCTTCGTAAGATGGCTAGATCGATTCGGCTGTTGATCCTGATCAAGAATATATATGATTTATATGGTCGGAAATGACTCGTTCAGTTAGAAATATCATGCAAGGGTGTAAAAAACTATGGCCGCGCTAAGAGCTTTATAAATGTTAAAAAAATATATTTTAAATCTCCAAATACTCTCGTATTGTTAAAGGGCATACAACTAGTCTTCCTTCTTTAGTTTTTTGATTTTTCCTCTTCTCTTCCGTTTCGACAATGAAGGTCTGTGCGGCTTTGCTGAAAGCGGAAACGCTCGAGCGGCCATAGAAAAGCAAAGCATTTAATGCAGAACTCACATTGTTGCTGGCGTCGTTGAGGCTTTTTGTTTTTTGTTCGTTGCCCAAAAACAAAAACAAAAATACAAAGCTGGGAATCCCTGAAAAAAAAGGAACCGTACAGTGAGGCCATGCTGCGATGGCTGCTGCAAGCATTCGAAATGATTAATGGGCTCCTGCAGAAAGCAGCGGCATTAATGGGCGGTCAGCGAGGCGTTCCCAGCGACAGCTAGTGGCTTCATTTTGTTTTTTTTTTTCTGTTTCCGCCGCCATTTCCCGTTTCCCTTTTCATTTTCCAGCACCGGTTGCCACCACGCTTTCCATCACGTACTCGTACACTCCTAAAAAGCCGCGAAAGATTGCAGCACGTCTGGCTAAAAAATCCTGTTCGCCAATCAGCGCCTGGCCCATAAATTAACACGGCGTATGATTAATATTAAGTATTACACAATCTAATGGCCCGCCCGTGAGCAATTGGCAGTGCTCGAGCCGTGCTCGCAGTGTACGATCTTAATTTGGCGGGTTGCCCACGCTTAAATCTTTATTAATATGCACGGTCGGAGACCGGAGGATTTTGTGCAGCTCGTCTCATCCGAGCGAGAGCCGGGTGAAAAATGGATTCCATTAGCGCCAGCAAATTTGCTTGCTTGTCCCGGGAAACAGCCCAAAAAAGTAGAGGAAAGCGAACAACAAAAAACAGTGGACAACTGCATTGATTTTGTAGCACGTGGCATGTTCTGCCCGCCTGTCATTTATGTTAATGGTCGAACCGAATTGGCATTAGGCTGCTGCCCAAGCCCACGCCCATCTATATGTATTGAACACTGATGGAATGGGGCAGGGAGCGCTTGTCAGTTATATTTTATATTCAAAAAATTCGTATATTTAAACCAAAAATAGGAATATTTTTGCTGACTACCCATTCACATGTCAATCACTTTAACGAACTGAAAACTGAATAACATGCGTGAAAAATTCGTAAAAATAGTTTTTATTTATATTTATATCCATGCCGATAATCTTATCGAAATGATTGCCAATTTGACACTTAAACTTTTAGTATAATTTTCGAGTTTTTGATAAATGATCGCTAAAAATTTCGTTAATGTTGAAATCGCTGGGAAAGCTGTCAATTTATTGTTTACACAATTCAACAAGATAAATAGTCGCTGGCACCGATGTTTGATGGACCATCCGGGGTGTTTTCCAGTGTCGATGGACAGGTTCCACATAGCGAATCCCAAAGATCTCATGGATCACATGGATCACATAGCTCACATGGCTCACACAACTCAAATGGATACATGAAGGACACCTCCGATGATCTGGGCGCCAGTCACGAAGGTCATGATCAGGGTCACGGGGCTAGCAGCCATAGGCACCACGGAGATGAAGACGGTATGTCGATGGCCTTTCACGGGGGCAGTACGGAGACCATTCTGTTCAATTTCTGGCGCACCCAGTCCGCGTCGGCCTTGGGTTTGTCCTGCCTACTGGTTTTTGTCGTGGCCGTACTCTATGAAGGCTTGAAGTTCTATAGGGAGTGGCTGTTTCAGAGGAACCGTGAAAAGAGATTAGACGCCGGCAGGGATCATTATGGCCACCCGAGGCACCACAGAGAGCAGAACTACGCCTACAAACCACCGACGTACTCTTTTAGGCTACCACTCCCACAGTCGCAGCATCATCCACAGTCACATTCTCATCCACAGCCACATTCTCATGCACAGCCACATTCTCATACACAGTCACACTCTCATCCACAGTCACACTCTCATCCACAGTCTCATCCACAACCAAATACTCATCTACAACCACATTCTCATCCACAACCACACACTCATTCACAGCCACCGGCTCATCAACAACCACATTCTCATCCTCAGTCACCGGCTCATCCACAGCCACAGCAGCAGCACCAGCAAGGTTAGATATTTGATTAACTTTTAGTCAAAGTTTAACCATGTTGTATTTACGTAGCTCAGGTCCAGATGTACGCATATCGTCAAGTGTCTTCCTCGATGCCGCCTCATCAGCATAGCGATTCTATTGGCCCTCTGTCAGCGCAGTCCTCACAGTCAATGCCGCCAATGCATCACCGCCACATGACGCATTCTATTGGCTCTCCGTCAGATCAGTCGTCTCATATAATGCCACAACATCACCATCACATGCCGCATTCTATGGGCCCTCCCTTACCGCTGTCCTCACAGATGATGCCACAGCCTCACCATAACATGCAGCATTCTATGGGCCCTCCGTCAGCACAGTCCTCACAGATAATGCCCCAGCAACATCACTTGCCGCATGGACCGGGTCATCATCACATACAGCAGGAGGAAGATCCTGAAGCTAGAAAAAAAGTGCCTTGGCGTCGACGCTGGTGCTCCCGGCTGCATCTCATCCAGACCTTACTGCACGTCCTGCAGGTGCTCATATCCTTCCTGCTAATGCTCGTCTTTATGACCTTCAACGTGTGGCTGGGCCTGGCTGTCCTTTTGGGCGCCGGTGTCGGCTACTATATATTTGGTGCCTTCAGCAACAGAATTAATGAGCACTGCAACTGAGATAAGCCGGACATATCCGAAACGAACCGAAATGATGAGCTGTCTAGTCCTGGCTAATGTGCTTTTCTAATTAAAGCAAGTTGTAAAAATCATAATGGCTGGGGTGCCCGGCCTAATTGTTAATGTTTATGGCTCGTAAAACAATGAATGCAGGCAGCATTCGCATCTTTTGCTCGACGAATAACAACGGGGCATCTGCAGAATTTTCCCTTTTTGTCTGCCAACGGACAACTGGGCGTATGAGCAATTTAGCTGGCCAAGGCAACTGGAAAACGTCGAAGAAGGGTACGATGAGAACGTAAAATTTAAGATCAACTTGAATCTTTCCTAAAGACTGAAAATCGTAATAAAATTAAAAAATCTAATAAAAAATCATTAATATATTTAATATAAATCAAATTATAAGCGTTTACCATTGTATCTCATTTGAACTGTCTGTCAAAAAATATGTTATTTAATTTCATTGCTTTGCTTCTATGTATATCTAAGCGTATCTAGGAGTCGTTAAAACATTTGCTGGAAGTTTTTACGCGTTATTCGGATATTTTTGTATCTGTAGGTTTATGGGACCACCCGCATTTACGAGGGTGCCCGCATTTTTCCCTGCCAGTGTGTCCAGCGTACTTGGGTCTGAGTTTGAATGCTCAGGTGAGCCAAAGAGCTAAGGATACTGCTTATTTGGCCGTGTCTGGCACTTTCATTACACCGTAATTATGAGGGCGATAAAGCAGCCTCCTGTCCTGTTTACTTTTTGCGGCACAGGAAAACATGGAAACATTAAAGCGGACACGGACATGAACACGGCCGAGGAAATGGATATGGAAATGGATGAACTGGCGGTCGGCAGTCGCCATTGTTGGCCAGTTATCGGCGCTTCCACATTCAATTAATATTTTAATAAGCTGACTTTACGCCGTTTTCCGGACGGATAACGCCATTCGGCTTTTGCACGGCCCAAAGCGCACGATGGCTCAGAGGATGCCGGCCAGAAGTCGTTGACGATTCGGCGAAGGCAAATGTGGCCTTAATAATTTATCCGCACATGTCCGTATGAGCTCGTTTGCAAGTCTCTTGAGGTTTGGGCTCTCACCAAGTGCATGGTCGACAGCGGAACCGGAAATGCGTCGATGCATAACAGTTGTATTACAAGTGGTAAGGGGATGAGGATGCTTCAGAAACCTAGCGAGGTTTCAAGGTATTTTCCTTGCGTTGAAAATAATTTAAACCTAACATTCTCTCCCTGGTTGTTACTTATTGCAGATGATAAGTAAGAACCGAAATAGCTATTCCAGGAACCGAATTGAGTGTAGAAGCTGTGCTAAGCCAAGCCACCTTTAACGGCCATGCCAAAAAATAAATTAAACGAAATTGCTTCCGAGAAAAGCGTGGTTTATGTTGAGGAATGCCAGTTGGTTAACGAGAAGTGGTCAGGTGTACAGGCTGAGCGGAGAAGCCCATATCATTGTAGTGGGCAGGCATGTAGGTGTAAAAGGTGGCCCTCATCCCCGGGGTACACATCTGCGGCCTCATAGCCAAGTAGAAGACACGGCACACCTCCATTAATGAATCTGCAAAGCGCTTTGTCTGCCGCTTCCTTAGGCACTGGACCGCGTTCTGAAACTTCTCAGGATTTCGGAGGCTGGCATCGGCATCGATTCGTGGGACTCGAGCTAGGTTCCCCGCATCAAAGCCATCATTTTGTCTATTATTACCTTGCTCTCACGGAAGCTCTCATAGCGTTCTCTTCGCGAGTAACGTTTTCCATATCGTTGACAGATCCACTCGATGAGATACGGCGCCGCATGGACATTGGGTAGAGTGGGCAAGACATATCGCTTGTCCTTGGCCACTTGCCGCAGACCCAAGCGCAGCATCTCCTTCATCAAGGGAAGGTTGTCGGAATCATAGAACTCCTGGCCAAAGTGCAAGCGGTGACTGCCTCGAGCGGCTTTCTCAGCCGCCTTTCTTTGCTGCATCTTTTTAAGCTCCTTGTGGAAGGTCTTTACATCCTCCGCAAAGACCCTTTTTGCAGCCTTATCCACCAGTGTGTCTATGGAACCCTCCATCTCCTCGCCACTCAAGGCGGCACTTAGGTACTGGACATCATCGTCGATGGCCTTCACAAAGGCCTCTTTTAGCCTCATTCGCTCCTCATCGGAGCGAGTCCTATACAGCGAGCCAAACAAGTCACGGTAGTTGAACTTCACCGTATTGCTGCCCGGAGGCCCCAGCTCTACAAGCTTGCGATCGTGACCAGGATGTAAGGAGGGATCTTGATTCCAGTTGGAACCATGATCTCTCCCCACATCCTCGACACTGCCGCACAAATGCAGGAACTGCATTAAACTGCTGGGACGACGATCTTTCATAGTCCTGGATTTGGATTCTAGGGCATCAAAATCGGGATCGTAAGTGTGACACTTGGCGCACTCTGGAGGCTCGAGCTGGAAATCTGGACAATTTGGTACAACGGGTCTGTCACCCTTCAGCAACTTGACCATTATGTCCCTGAAATCTGATTTTAATTTAGGAGGTGGTATCGTTTTACGTGAATGTCCTCTGGATTTGGAACTAGACCTGGATATCGATTTGGATCTCGACTTGGATTTGGAGCTGCTGTTTGATCTGGATCTGGATCTAGATCTGGATCTGACCTTTCGTTCTGCTCCACCTTTGGACCGGTTTCTGTTGCTGGAACGCCTCCTACTTCTCCTTCTAAGTGGAAGAGTTATTGGGTCCGTTTCAACCTCTCCCATACACTTCTCGTCCCTCATTTGATCACATTTGTAGGTTTCCGGGATAAGAAATGGGTATCCTTTTGGAAAATAATTGCCGCCGGCAAAGAGGTGCTTTCGAGTAGTAGCCAGTCGTGATCTGGCTGCCAAATCTCGGAAACGCTTTAAGTAGGCGGCACTCATCTCCTCCAGCTCCTGAATAACTAGTTTTCGCCTCCGCTGCTCCGCACCATTCTTGGACATGAGAAGCTCTTCGCACCTTTTCTTCTTTAGCAGATCAAGTTTAATTTTTAGGGATTTTTCCATCTCCCGGATTTTCTGATGATGGGTACACAAGGACTCTACATCGGCGGGAGGCAGTGAAGCGGCCTCGAATGACTTGAAGATGCTGTTGATCTCCTCGGTGACAATGGACCTGACTACCCGTTTGGCCGTGCTCAAGGTATAGCTGCCAAACCATCGAGAATGCATGGAAGAGGAAGGGATCGGCTTGGAGTCCTTCAGTTGGAAGAGAAAGGCTGGACGACTCGGATGACCGGAAAGCAGGCTTGAAGAATTCCTCATCCTGTTGCCCAGATTGGGTTCTTGTTCTTGAAAGTACATAGCCAAGGGTCCCTGATGCTTGGCCCTTTTAGCAAGCTCCCTCTGGCGCTCCTCCTTCCTTTCCCTTTTTATCCTTAGTCTTCGTTGTCTGATGGCCTCGGCTTTGTCCCGATCCGCCTGAGAGGCATGCGGCAATGGTAACCAACGATCAAGCTCTTTGAGAGTTGGATTAAGGTCCAGCCAGAAGATGGACGACATTATGATCTGCTCATTTATATTGTATGAACTGCCGTGATTGGGTGACTTGTAGCACAATTCCATGAGGAACCAGAGAAAGGCGAGGTCATTGCCCTGACTGAGTTGTATTAGTAGGCGCAGTGTATCCCATGCGGGTATTGGGTTGAATCCCATTCGTTTCAATACCTTGGTGACACTCGAGGCCGTATTTTGGTCTATATCGTCCCTCAGACATTCGGACACCGATTGGGCCGCCTTCATTTGAATCTGGGATAATCCACGATACCAACCGGTCTTGTCCTGAGACAACTTGACCTTCTCCAACGAAGACAGAAGCTCCTGATTGAGACGCGTGGAGCGATCTCGCACATCCTGTCCTTGGAAACTAGGCAGACGCATTTTAATTTCAGATATTAGTTTCAATTTGGTTGAAGCAAACAAACGTAAAATGCCACTATTGAAAATTAAATTTAAATTTTGGCAGCGTTGTAAAAGTGTGATGTGTTTAAGGAAATATAGAAATTTTCGTTTAGAAAAAATTTAGATTTAAAAAATTACAGTACTTAAACTATAAATTAAAAACTTTAATTTAAGTCTGTGCCCTAGAAACTGTCACAGCAACATTAATTGCTGGTCTTAAATATTTTTGGGCAACCGTCTCTCTGCCGCCAGATTAGGCCATGATCCACTCAAGTGTTTTCATCTGCCAGTGTTGGCTAAGCACTGCCACCATCGTCGACCAAAGATAAATGATTTTGCTGGCGTTTTATTTGGGGCCAGTCCGAGTGACGCCTCATCCGTATGGGGACCACACACCGCGCTCACACATCTGAGATTCGTCACACGGCGGCTGGTCCTTGGTATTAATGTCCCTGCGAAAATGGCCAAAATGCTATAAATTGCCTTCGCGTGCGAGTGTGTCGCCAAAGTGTTTGTGTCACAGTATCGTCCTTTATTGTTGCGGGCGCCGAGATTTTCGGAGGCAGAACTGATGCTCCTGCTGCTGCTTAGGGGGGCTACGAGTATATCATTAATTTATTAGCAAACCAAATAGGAATGTTTTTGCTTTCACGCACGCCCTGGCACACACGTGTTTTCCTTCGGCTATCCCCCGCTCAAGGACTTGCTTTGTTTCGTTTGCTTTCGGCAGGAGTCTCCACACAATTAGTCCTAATGCCGGAGGGTTCGCTTCCTGTGCGGCCCCGATTTTGATATGCCATATAATTTATGACTTTCCACTGTCAATTAAATTCTTTAGAAAATGACAGTTTTGCCATTTGCTGACATCGTGATCCCCTGTTTTTGGTTCTATTTCGGTTCCTGGCAGGTTGCCATGATTTATGCACCGCCGGCTGACAGTTCTCCAGCATCTTTTCGCAGCTCCTTTTTGGGCACGAGTCCTTTGTCTCGAAGAGGTTCGGCTAGTTTTGCCCTTTTTTTGTCAGTATATTTAGGTTACAGCTATGTGAAGGATAATAGAAGTGGTTTCAAATAGAAATAACTTAAATATATTAAGAATCTTTGAATTTAACTTGGAATTGAATATTTTATTTAACTTTAAACTATTGTTTTATATATTGTGTCTTGGAAACTTTCCCATAACTTGAACTAATATCTTGTGCTTAGTTGTAACTATTTTTTTCCCTGGTCTCGTCCTGCGGCATCCTCGACACGTGGCCAACGCCTGCAGAGTTGTTTATGTTAATGACCCGAACCGGCTTAGGAGCCCCGTCCTCAGGATCCTGGCAATGTGGCGATTGGCATGTGTTCCTGCTCATTGCGAACGGCTTTTCCTGCTGGCGGGTGCCAGATCTTAATAATAGATATGCTCGCATTGTCAGGTGGAACTTATCGCATCAGGTATATATCAAGGAAATTAAAGTGGTTCCTTGACAACTTTTCCCTTTTTTTCTGTGGGCTTTTGGTTTTCGGCTTACTATTTGCGGATTGCGTGACCAAGTTGCTGGGGTTGCTGAAATTGTTATAGTTACCGTCAACGTGCCAGAGAAGGGGCCCACATAAAATGAATGCCCCTGGATTTATGGCAGCTCATCGGTTATTGATGTCGTTCCCTCCCTAAAAAAATATGTACACATAAATGAATTGAGGCACTTTTTAATATCGCGCATGGCGTGGGATGTATTTTTTCCCCCGTTGGGTTGCCCGAATTGATAAACTTTTCTTTGGAAAAGGGAAGCGATTAATTCGAACGTCGAATTCGGGTTGCAATTGCTTCTTTTCCGTCAGTTTCGCTTATTTATAGAATGTAGTTTCGTCCTTGCTAAAGTTGGGCATCCAATCAATCATTATAAGTTCTCTTTATTGCCAGGAAAAAATGCTACCCACTACAGAGTTTCCACCAAATGACCAATAAGGCCAAATGGTGAACACATATATTGATAAATAAATGTATTTTCCTGATTAAAATTTATTTGCTGCATATAATTTATTTGATAAATATAACAAATTCTGGCTTTATCAATGGAAATATAAATTAGAGATGCTAAAAATCAATTATTTTTCCGTAAAAAAGACTTTCATTAATCCAGTTATAAATAAAATAAACAAATAGAATAAATTTAAGTAATTTCCTGAAGTCTTCAAGCCAACTTTATAATATGATATCTTCCAATAAAATTAGAAAAATAAAAGAAAAATTGTATCGCCAAGGACTTCAGATAACTCGCATAGAATTCTCTGAAAGTAAAATAAATACAATTCAAAGGGATTCAATGTTAGTCCTAAAGGTTAAGAGTTCATCTGAAATGTGGGAAATATATTTGGTTATCCTGATCCAGTTTTCCTTCCTTTTCCGCACATGTTTCTTTTTTGGCTTTGGGTTTTGCGGCTTGGTCCGTTCTTAAATCAGATTTTCGCGCCTTTTGCGGCTGAACGCGTCCGCTGTTTTCCCTAACAATTTGCGCTCCACTGAATCAGCAACTTGGGCGGACGACCCTACACCTATATACAAATACATATATATATACTCCACAGATATAGGAGGGAAAATCGGTAGACGACTGGCAAATGCCGCAAGCCAGGCTTATGTTAAGTCGCTCTTCCATCCTCCTGGCTTTATGGCATCACGTGCGCAGGCCCGACTCGAGTTGGGATTATAAAATATATGTTTGGGAATAGCTTGCGGCGCACTCAACTTATCTGGGCGGAACTAGGAGACAACGGGAAGCGTATTGGAACTGCTTGGAAAAACTGTTGCTCAGTACGTGTATGTATGTGTATGTTTGGATTTTCGAGAGGAATGTCTCTCTCCCTTTCTTTATCTCGGTATCTTGCTATCCTGACAACTTCATATTATTTGAATACACCGGAAAAGAACAGTAAGATTAATTCCGGATGCATATCAATGCAATTCATAGAGTTTTACTAACAAATCAAATTGTAAAAAATGCATAACTAAGCCAAAAATTCTTTAATTTCAATTCGGAAACCTTTCCCGTGTTAGTTTTTGTTAGGTTAATAAATCTGCATACTCAATAAAGGGTTTTAAAATATTCCAATTTTTTAGAATTTTTGACAATTTTAATGAAATTTTGAAAAAATTTCAAAAATTTATTTTTTGACCGGACATGTCTAGATTGATTCAGCTGTTTATTCTGATTAATAATATATATGATTTGTAGGGTCGGAAACGACTCCTTCACAGCTTCTGATTAAAATTATGATTCGTTCCGAGGGTATAATAACACAGGTGCGTACGTAATTTTATGTGAAATTACCTGCAAGGGTATACAAAATCCCAAGCAATGAATTTTGTTGAATAAATGAATCGAACAAAACGTAGGTGCCATTAGTAGCTAAATATAAATCACATTTCACTGTAATTATTATCAGTTTGTTTTTGTTTCTAATTTTTAAGATTTGTTTTCTTATTGTGTACATCTGAAGGGAGAGTCGCATGTAGCTGTAAAAGTGAAAGCATGTTCGTATTCCGGCGCATATTTTTTTACCCCTTGGCGTAATTTAACGAGCTCCTAACTTTATGTTTGTTTGTCGTGTACACATTTTGTTTTTATTGGGGCTCGAGAGCAGCATCCCTGCTTAAGTGAAACATTTTTAAAGGCGGCTTCGCCGTCTCCCCGGCAGTTTTCGTTTCGGTTAATGCGAAAAAACCCCAAAACACGAAAAAAACGGGAGTACTTTTGCAAAAGGGGGCATAAGAATAATAACTGGCATTTGCTCCTCAGAGCCTGCTTGTTGCTATTGCTGTTGCTGAAGCTGAAGCTGGAGCTGGAATGGATGCCACCATCGTCCTGACTCCCACTTCCGATCCTGTGGTTGTTGCTACTGTTACTGGTTACTGGTTACCCGGGACCCCGGGGCTTTGGCAAATGCACGATGCTTAACTTTTTCGCCAGAAGAATTTCTGTGTTCTGTTTGCTGTGCGCCATTTGTTTATAAATTTAATTTGTCTTAGGCAAAGGCACAAAAAACACACCGAACGACGACTTGTTGACTCATGAGGGTAAAGTTTGCATTTTCCTTTCGCTTTTCCGCCTTTAATTTTCAGCTGGCAAATGTGTTTTGCATATTTGGTCAGGATTTAATGCAGAGTAAATGGCGATTCATAACCGAGTTAGCAATGTCAGTAAGTGGCTTCTATTCCAAAATTTATGAAGCTGCCAATGCTGACTCGACATTTCTTTCAAAGCCAGACGTCAATTTTTATTCACAGAGCGAAAAAATTGGTTGTTAGATATATTTATTATATTGTGAGTCCCAGTATACTTTTTTAAGAAACTTTTATATTACATTTTTTAAGTTCAAAGTTCAGTTTAAAATTATTTTCCTTTGTGCATGCATTTCGCCGCAAGTATGATTTGTAATATGCAAAAATTCCCATGCATTATTATGGAAGTGCCTCTTCGAACTATCACCCCGAAAAGAAAACCACCCACTCTTTGTGTCTTGGCCTTTTATGCGTTATTGAATTTCACTTAAGGGCAACTCATGCTTGCTTATTTACATTGTCTGAGGCCGCTGGAGTGTGTGTGGAGGGAAATGCCACTCGAACCCAGTCCTTGGCTGGGAAAGGGAAATATTTTTGGCATGTGTCTGGCCCGCTGGGAGAAACTGCTGAAAATAATAATAATAATAATAATAATAATATTCAAGTGCGGTGCCTTCGAAAGTTTTGCAAAAAGTTTGGTATTAAAAATACATATGATGGGTTAAGTGCTGACCGTTTACTCATTATAAAAAACAACTTTGGCTTGAGCAGGGACTGACATTGAGGTGTCGGGATAGTTGGATACCAATTAGGTCAGTTTCCATTATACCGGGGTTACAGGTTGCCAGGATTCACCGGGCCACAATCACCAACGGCATACGAAATGCCGGAGCATAGTTTCGGGCCAATTGACAGAAGAAGCGTCAGGATGACACGACCATGGCAAATACAGCTCCCACGTGTGGCGATCTGTGTAGTCAAACACTCTACACACAACCCCTTTTGGACCCCAAAAAATCCGCAGCCAC